AAATCACAACACCATTTAAGTACGAAACAATAAAATGTAAAAACAAAAGTTGAAATTTACTTTGAAAGTCCATCAGAAAACTCTGGCGGAGCCTTAGATACTTATACATTTAAATAAACCTCCCACAAAAAGTCTGTAATCCATCTTGAATTCGAATTCCCAGTCATAATTCCTTGAAAGTGGACTACGTTTGATGAAATACTGATTTTCATTTTACTGTATACCATAAATTCAGAATGTAAATTAATCAAATTTGCCGATGGATTCGAAATTATTATTAAGTATTTTCTCAAGATTTTACAGACATTGAAAACTATGTCTTGATTTTTTTTATACAACTTAAAATGGCAAACAAGCTGGCGGCCCACCTGATGGAAAGTGGTAACCGTCGCCTATAGACATGAGCAGTACCATGGACATAACAGAGTATACTGTTTCGCCCATGATACCCCCCATGCGTTGCCATTCCTGAGGACTCAGGTGTTATTCCTCTGTACCCAGTAAATTCACGCCATATCCACCCTTCACACCGAAACACAGCCATGCAAACACAACTGCTTCACGGTTGAAACACGAATGGGACAGAGGGGTACCTATGTCCCATTCGTGTTTCAATCGACAGTTGTACAAGTTGTTGAGTAATCGACTTTTGTACAAAGTCTTCCTCGGTAGGTTGTACTTGAGGTCGTCACTCCATCTGGTGGGGTCTGTCGTCCTACACAGGGTTAGACGGTTCTTCGAGCTATGTGACCAGCTCATTGCCACTTCAGCTTACTTAGCCTTGAAACTATTTTTATGGATATAAAGTAAAATGAAATTACTAATTTTGAATACTAATATCTTTCTATCTAGATCCCATGTACACATTCGATGCTAAAACGCCTGTTAATTTATAAATTTATACGCTATCTCATGGATCAAATTTACAATTATTATACTTTTAATAGTTTACAATGTAAACGACAAAATAAATATACGTAGAAACTGTATGTTTCACTCGAAAAACATAATCCTCTTTTCTTACACAATTAAGTAAAAATAATAGAAATTAAACTGCAACAAATTATTAAATTAAATTAACTTACAAGTACATATCCAAGCATACTCATTCACCATCGCTGTGATATTAAAAATATAACTTAATTACAATGATTACCACAAATTGAAAACGGAATAGATTTTAAATATTCAAATCTCATTCTTAATTCAAAGTAAATTGAAATCGTTAAAAATGTAATGGAATAGTTTTACAATTTAAAAAATAAAAATAAAAAAAATAGGATACCAACATTCGCATTCGAGCAGATAAAAATTGAGTCAACGTTGCGAAATAGAGTTAAGCTGAGACGGATTAAGGGGTCGATGAAAATTGAGTTTTATAGCCGATTTTTTTTTTTTTTTTTATAAAAAATTATAATTCGTATTACAGATATCACTTGCTACAAATACTTTAATAATTTATTCGTGTGCATGTTGGTATTAAATGTTAAACATAGCTGCTTTTTATAGGGGTGAGGATAATCGAATAGTGATAGGCACTAGTGGCGTATCTAGTAGCAATCTACAAATACAATACATAAATGGAGCATCGAATGTCAAAAACAGATAAATATTTAGTATGCTAACTGTCAAATTAGCTTACTCGTTTTTTTTTAACAGTGTTCTATACAATAAAGAATTAAGGTTATTTCTCAGTGTTACAAGTATTCGAAATAAAATTCTCATAATTGAACCAACGCTTCCCAAATAAGGTGATCTTTTCCAATATGAATTTATTGAATATGAATGGTCACGTACAGTGCGGTTACAAAGAAATTTTGTCCCACGAACGCTTGCTGAGGTTTTCCTTAAAGACTACGGAATGGGGTTCTTCAAAAAGCGTATATTAAAGTTTCTTCAAGGTCGACAACACGCACGTGACACATAGTCAGACAGGCCATTAGACAAACTGTATGCTTGTTTGCCACCTTCATGGTATTGAAAAAAATATTTTTTTTTTTATTACAATAATAAAATAAAGCATATAAATAAACTTGTTTAAGTTATTATAGAAAATTAAATAAATAATAATATTATTTTATATGTATTATATTACAACAACCTTTTTTAAACCTAAGGTGTTATTTTACATTGAATTTTTTTTTATACAACTTAGAATGGCAAATAAGCTGACAGTCCACCCGATGGAAAGCGGTAACCGTCGCCTATAGACATGAGTAGTACCATGGACATAACAGAGTATACTGTTTCGCCCATGATACCCCCCTTGCGTTGCCATATGAATATAGAAATTTACTGTTTTAATTTTAAATTGTTTTTTTTTTTTGTTTTTATTTGTTTATCACATTACACCGTCATTTATATATTTTATTATTCCTATCTATGGTGGACTGGTAGATAACGCCATACGGTGTTTTATCCGTCTGTCTGCCATTCACACTATCTGAGTGTTTAAGTTAATAAATAAATACATGTCATAGAGAAGATTATAGGCTACTTTTTATCCGGGTCAGTGAACATATATCGGTTACATGTAGGAAATCACTAGTAAAAGCTAGTTAAAAAATAAAAAGAAGAGATTTTCGTAAAAAAATTACAAAGATGTCCCAATAAAAGAAGAATTGGGAATGTGTTAGTAATTTACGTTAAGGCATTAATAGGTAACAAATAAACTCACATTCACATATATAATATTGGCAACGATTACTTAGTTTATAACTTAGTTAGTATATAAGAAGGGATATGGCGTGAATTTACTGGGTACAGAGGAATAACACCTGAGTCCTCAGGAATGGTAACGCATGGGGATATGATGGGTGAAACAGTGTACTCTGTTATGTCCATGGCACTGCTCATGTCTATAGGCGACGGTTACCACTTTCCATCAGGTGGGCCGTCAACTTGTTTGCCATTCTAAGTTGAATAAAAAAAAGAATAACATTTTATTTTAAACTTAATAGTAAATTAATATTCAAATTGGCTTTAGTTATAAAAAATAATAAATATTAATCATTGAGACTCGCCCTTAAGTCGGGCCTGTAGATAAGGAAATCAGATACCGTGTCTGGCCTGCTTTTTGACGTAAAAAGGTTTAGTCATAATTGTACAGGCAAATCTATTTTATGATTCGTTTTTGATTGACTTAACATCGAATGGGGATTAAAAAATATCTGTTTAGTGTGCTTTGATCAATAAGTGTTTTTAATTTAATTTTAAATTTATTAAAATATAGAGCTCAATATTCTTTGATAACTTATTAAATTATAATAAGTTACCGAATATAATTATAATAAGTATAATGAATTACGTATGTACGTTAATAACAACAGCAATAATGCATCACACAATCACAACACACAAACGTTACATACTCACACAAATTCATAATTTAAAAATTCCATATTTTGAAAAAGGAACAGCTGAGTTGCCCTTTCTTCTAATTATAATTGAATTCCGAATGGGCGGTAGAATAATAAAAAATGACTATTCTAAAATGTTTAAGTACGAATTTATTCAAATAAAAGTTATTTCTTTCTTCCGTAAGAAAAAAACAATAGGCTATCACTATCTAAAGATCATGACTGAACTAAATATTACTTTTATAAAAGTTTTTAATAATTTTTTTTATTTTAGTTTTGTTACATATAATATATAAAACATATTATTATAGTGTAAGTGTCACAACTACCATTTCAACTAACGTACATACGCGACACACAACTACCAGAAAAAAACTAAGCCACGGAACAAAATCAGAATTTCTAAACAGCAAACAATTTGAACTCGATACTCGCTGGTTGCAATCGAGTCAGCATCGCTAAATCGAGTTAGTGCTGTCCCGCTTTGCGCCCGCAACTCTCGTGTTTTTATTTTTTTATTTCTTGTCTGTCGATCTTTTTAAAAATCGAATGAAATGCACGGCGCAAATTCTTATTTCTTGTTTTGAATTTGAATATCATATTTCGAATCGAAAAAATTTAAAAAGCGTTGATTATTTTCCGGGTACGTCGTAGTTACGCAATCAGCTTTGCAGAATAACGTAATTTCAATGTAATAAGTAGACGTAATGGCTTATTTTGATTATTACCTATTTTTTCTTTTTATTACTACGCAATATGTTTTGGAAAATTATTACTTTACGAGTTGAGGGAAAAATATTAGATGATCTTTTTGTGATTAGGTTAAAATACTTTTATAGTCTTTCTATTTGAGTATTATCTGAAACTATTATATGGTGGGAGAAATTGTAGGGTTTATCATCATCATCATCATCATACCAGCCTTTTTTGTTCACCGCTGATCATAGGCTTCCCCCATATAAAGAAGAGTTTTGCTAGTAGCTAACACGCTTGGCAAGCGGGTTGGCAACCGTAATCTGTTTTTGGCGATATTTTAAATGTACGCTGTTGCTAATTTCCCTTAGTCGCCTTTAACGACACCCATAGGAAAGTAAGGAGTGGCCCATTCTATGCCGGGACCACGCAGCCTTTAATATAGAGATATGCCATTGAAATTACAAGATAAAGAGACTGACATCTTAATCCTCAGGAATGGCAACGCTGAAAAGGAACCTGTCACCGTGAATGTCGCAGTATATTCCGTAGAATCCATGTTACTGTTAATGTATACAGGTGTCTACCGCTTCCCATTAGGAAAGCCATCAGCTATTTGCCATTAAAAATAATACATAAATAAACCAATGCCCAGTAGTGGGATGTTAGTAGATTATCATCGCGGTCTTGGGAAGGCAAAAACATTACACGCCGGGTGGGTATTGTTAGTAATGCGGACTACCAGTCGCATTGCTAGCAATATATTGTCAGGTCGACCTCCACGTGGTTTCCCTAAAAACCGTCGTGCTGAATTCCAGGTGTATTCATAACGATGGGCTAACTGACTTGCCTTTTCAATCTCACCTATCATCTCTCAAGCAGTGTTACCATTCCATTATCATCCAAAAAAAAAAATAACACGCTCAGAATTAAAAAAAAGACAGTACATTTTGTTCTGTTTTTAAAACTCTTTTTCTTTATTCGTAAAACCAATGAAGCTCTTCACAGCTTTGAATATGTCGTCAGCGAATTCCTCAGGCAATTCCAAGGCTGCGAAATGTCCGCCATAGTCCAAGGTCGTTGCACCAACAAAATTGGGATACTTCCATTTTAATATAAATTCTGGATGGAATACAATCTCATGTTTGAGACGGAGAGCCCATGTTGGTACCGGTGTGGGTATTCTAGAAAACAGATATATTATAAATGAGATTCGTATTATTAGAACAACACTTATCAATCTTATTTATTTACCAGAGGGAGACTTTGTACAAAAGTCGATTACTTGGGTACCTCTGTCCCATTCGTGTTTTAACCGTGAAGCAATTGTTTGCATGGCTGTGTTTCGGTTTGAAGGGTGGGATATGGCGTGAATTTACTGGGTACAGAGGAATAACATCTGAGTCCTCAGGAATTGCAACGCATGGGGGGTATCATGAGCGAAACAGTATACTCTGTTATGTCCATGGTACTGCTCATGTGTATAGGCGACGGTTACCACTTTCCATCAGGTGGGCCGTCAACTTGTTTGCCATTCTAAGTTGTATAAAAAAAATATATATGTCTATTTTACGTTACTACTCATCTGTATCCTACAATCGTCAATTAAGGAGATATTTGAACAGAAACTTTTTTATATCACTGAGGTGACAAACAAGTATACGGCCTACCTGATGGTAAGCGGCTACCGTAGCCTATGAATGTTTGCAATACCAGGGGCAATACTAGCCCCTTTTAAAGAGCCCCATGCTGTAGTCTCTTGGGAAAACCTAGGCAGGAAGCTCATTGCATAACCTAACTGTTCGTGGAAGAAAACATCTCTGAAACCGCGTTGTACACGAGTTTTTAGGCTGTAAGGTATGAGGTATAAACTTACTTAGCAATGACTTGTTCAAATTCACTGTTCCCAACACTCTCCTTATACAACCTGACAGAAGTGGTTATACAACCACTAGCCCAATACAGCATGATGTTATCCAACAATTTGGTGTGGTTGTAGTGTTTGGATAGTCCACCGTCTTCTGTATATTTATTGTTGACGTCCGTGAATATCATGAACCTATCTAGGATGTACGCCGCGAGGCCTGGTGGTGAATCTTGCAGCGCTATACCTAGAAAAGTAGAATTTATCATTGTCTACATTTATTTTTAAATATCCAATTTTTTTTACAACGCAGCGAGCAAACTAGTGCGCGGCTCACCTGATGATAAGTGACTACCGCCGCCCATGATCACTCACAACACCAGCGGCATTACAGGTGTACTGCCGGCCTTTTAAAAAGGAATATACTCTTTTCTTGAAGGTTACGTTGTCGTATCGGTTCGGAAATACTGCTGTTTTTATAAAAAGTTAGATTTTCAACACAATCAGATTGAGCTTATGACTTTTAGGTTAAAAACGAAGAATATATTCATCAATTATATAGGATGAATGAAAAGAAAAGAAAATTACGGTGATGGTAACTAAAAGCTTTATTGCTAGCAATATATTGTCAGATTGACTTCCATGTAGTTTCCCCTTGGAAACTATTGTGGATATTTACATGTGAATTCATCATGATGGTTCAACTGACTTGACTTCATTTACACTAGTACCCCGGGGGTAGAGGATTGACAGTAATGGGTTCAAACAGTTCCAATATTAGCAATATATCTTCACTTACCATCAGGTGAGCCGCATGATCGTTTGCCCCCTGTGTTGTAAGAAAAAAAAAAAGAAAAAGAAAAAAAAAAACAGACAATCATCAAGAAATTAGCAGTTGCCTCCCGGTATGATTTTTTAGAGGCAATAAATATGTCATCCTATAATGAACTTATAAAAATGTAAGTGTGTAAAATAAATATTACATTTATTTTTTTTAACATGCCACCTACCCATCTATTCTTTAATTCCTTCTACCCAAAGTTTGTCTGGAAGAGATTGCTTAGCAATAAAACCGCATTTTGTACTACACTGTACTTATTGAAAATCCTTCAACGAATCCTGTAATATTGGTGCAATAAAGTGTTAAATAAATAAATCTTAATATTTACCTATAGTATCAGGTTTAGTTGCTTGCAAATGAAGATATCCAAATTCTTCCAAAAAGAACTCAACTTTCTTTGCCAATGGATATAACCTATCTGTATATTCCTTTTCCACTAATGTTGGCCAAATGGCACCCAAAATCCATGCCAAATATGCTTTATTGGCAAAATTTGCTGGAAAATTTGTATGGATTCCGAGTACTTCGTTTGGAAACAGCGTGGCTATTCCCGATCCAACACTGTGGCCGAAGTCACCGCCTTGTATGTAGTACTTCTTAAAGCCAAGTCTTTGCATCAAGTTTCTAATTACTATAGATATTTTTGTTGGACTTAAACCTGGTCTCACTGGTCCCTGGAATAATAATGAAATACCAATTGTCATCATCATCGTCATATCAGCTGTTAACTGCTGAACATAGGCTTCCCGTATATAAAGGGAATTTACTAGTAGTCATTTAGTACGAACGCTACCTCCCAACTCAACATTACGTTTCCTTGGTCGCCTTTTACGATATCCACGAGAAGAGAAGGGTTGGCCCATTCTATGCCAGGACTATACGGAATAATGTAGTCCAGTAACGTAGAATTAGGAATGTTTTTTTTTTTAATAAGGCTACATTTTAGATCATTTTAGATGATAAACTTACTTGTGAATAAACAAATCCAGGTAAGTTAGGAGCAATAACTTCAAAGACAAAGTCGTATCCTGGTCTGACCGTGGTCAATAAAGGTATGGCTTCATAGAATTCTCTCACAGAACTCGGCCAGCCGTGGAGAAGGAGAAGTGGTAAAACCTGAAAGTAACATAAATAGTGATTTAGTATTTTTACTTTCTTGCCCGTTCTTCTTGGCTGAAATTGCGTTCCGAATGGGCGGTAATAAAAACAATTACTATACAAAAATGCTTAAATCTAAATTTACTTAAATAAAAATATTTCTTTATTTCTTTCTTTAACTATTCTTTCACTATAATCGGAGGATTTTTAATGTAATTCAATGATGATAGTAGGTCCCCGCCTCCTTTTGACTGCTTGGCTACGTAGCAGATGCCGTGCCCCTAGCTACTGACATAAATCAGAAATTTTATATTTTACGTGGATTTTTAAATATACAAATGTACAACTAACTTTAAAATATTATAAAATTGTGTTCTACATTTGTGTTTTATTATTGTGTTAATGTAGTATACAGTTAAATAAATAAAAAAAAATCAATATTTTTTCGTCATTAGGATTCCAAAATTATACAATAAAATGAACTTAATATCTTTAAAATAAAAAGCAACCTGTTTCTGTACTAACGGCATTACATAATAATTAATAGGTAGGTGTACAAACCTTGTATTCTATAACAGTGCTGTTAATACAGATATATATTGTTTTATACGATTTTTTTTTACCTTTAAATAATACATAAAAAAAAATCTATGAAGAAACAATTTTTTTTCTGAGACTAATTAATAAATACTGACACTTGTTTTAAGGTATAAATTAAATAAAAAATTGTATAAATATATAGTGAGAACGTGATGTCTTAAACAGTATCACAAACTATAAAACTCTCTCGAGGTTCTCTGCTAGATAAATCCAACATGAACGACAACTACAACCTTTTTTAGATAATTTCAACTGAGATATTTAAAATGTTAATAGGTAGTTAATTTAATTAAACAATAAAATACGTATAAAAATCACATACCTTCACGCCTTTCTTAACTTTTGGCTTGACATGAATGAAATGGATATCAAGTCCTTGGATATTTGTTTTAAATTGATCGAATTGATTCAGAAACTTCACTCGTTCTTCTGGTTTGTATTGAAAGATCCAATTCGAGAAAAACTGGGAAAAAGCCTCTGAATTTATACCGTATGTCCACGCTGCATCCTTGAGACTCTTAACTTTTTTTGTTTCTGTCCGATATGAGTCAAATCTCATCCGAAGATCATGCAGCATCTAAAGAGAAAAGAATAAATATTCTAAGAAACAACATTATTGGCTCTCACTCAGATAACTGACTAAAACAAATAACTGAAATACTTGTAAATATAACCACTTTTACTTTTCTGCAATATTATTTTCCAGGAACACTCCGCTCCTATGAAACTACTGCTAAAATTTATTTAAAAATTTTTATATTTGCTTATTAAAGCAATCACTTAAAAAACCGTGTGGGCGCCGCGTAGAATGGGCCATCCTTTCCTTTCGCGTGGATTTCGAATAAAACAACAAAAAATTTTTAGTCTTCCATACAAAGATATCTGGATGTTACAACAATCCTTTAAAAGTGTGTTGATGTTTCCGATTTGAGCCTGTATAAAAACGAATATTCTGTATTGAAACGAACACCATGTATACTGTTAATAAATGAACTTTTGTAATTTATAATCTAATTTACTTTACTGATTTTGATAAAATTTCTATGGGACCAATCTGTAAGTATATGCTTTCAGGTAAATAAAAAAAAATCTAAATAGATTTAGATTAGACCGAGTTATGAGGTAACAAACATAAAAAAATATATAACTGAATTGTAAAATCTTTGAAGTCGGTTAAAAATTAACTTACTCCATCGCCGAACACTATTCTGTAAGGTCGTATATCCTTGTTCTGTTTACTCTTTGTCTCATTGGGACCCCACCAGTAATCCAAATCCAATTGTGGTGTATCAGGTATTGTTGTCAAACACTGAAATATATGGTAGCAAGGAAACGCTAATAACAAACCCAACAATATCGGTATCAGGAGAAGTGTTATCTGAAAATAAATAAATAAATCCCCTTATTCATAAAAACGTTAACCTTTCTTTGCATACTGGTGGAAATTTCCACTATAACATTGAATGCTTTATATAAAAGACGAAGTTCACTTTAAGTTGATTGTGTCTGGATAATTTTTTAATGTCCATTGCAGAAAGAAAAAATATAGCTGTCAAATTTATTGTTTTAACCATTTTTCCGTTAATTTTAAACATGAATTAATATCACTTTGATTATATGACTTTGATTTCAACAATAAAAAAAATCATGCAAAGAAAGGTTAAACGTCTCATAAATATATTTCAGCTATGAAAGTGTTTTGTCCTTTTCTTTTCCACTGATTTCTCAGTTTGACAGACAGTGACGGAAAGCCTTTATTTTTTTACTCATTCGCCCAAAAGAATAACATTTAGTACACGAATCGGTTATACCCTAAATTAACATACATTTTATATATTAATTTATTCAGACCAATCTACAGGGCGCAACTACATTATTAATAATGTAAAAGATATTTAAGTTTTTGTTTTATACAACTTAGAATGGCAAACAAGCTGACGGCCCACCTGATGGAAAGTGGTAACCGTCGCCTATAGACATGAGCGGTACAACAGAAACAGTAAAGTACAACAAGCAGAACATTTTATTTTATAATATTAATAATAAAAAAGAAATATTAAAGTCGTCTATTTACGAAGCAAAACGGGCAAAATTGATAAAAAGAAAAGATAAAATGATAAATCTACTATTATTACTAACAAACTGTATGTTAAATAATTATCAAAAACAATTAAATAAATTAATGGTTAATACTCGTATAAATAACTCACACTGATACTACTTTTTTTCCTCTTTCCAGTAACCTTCTTTGTTTCTTCAACTTTTTTACTTTGAACTTTTTTTTCTTTTTTCGACATATTTATTGAATAACCACTCACTTATTTAAAAACGACCGAACCATTGATAAAGATATCTTCGACTGACACTTTATGTAGGTGATGTAATTGCATTGTATTAATCGTGTTATAATACTTTTAATCTAGCGCTAAATTGATAAGTAGCTAATTTTTTTTTAAGGTCAGCAACGCGTGCGTGACGTCCCTGGCGTTACAGGCGTCCATATACTACAGTAACTCTGTTTACCGTCAAATAAACGATATGCTTGTTTGCCACCATAATAGTAGAGGGAGAGGGAGACTTTGTACAAAAGTCGATTGCTTGGGTACCTCTGTCCCATTCGTGTTTCAACCGTAAAGCAGTTGTGTTTGCAAAATACCCAAATATTATCTAATACTGGGTATCACATATTGGTTATTACTAATTGATTACTGAGTTTATCATATCTATAAAACGATATCGATTCAGCTGTAGGTACGTGTGTACAAATGCGATAGTGTTTACAGTACAGAGTAGGTACAAAACAGATATAGATATTACAAGTAAATTGACGGTATTAATTTAATATTAGTTGATAAAATAACTAAATAATTAAAGATTAATCAACTTCCAGCAGCAGTATTTGCGAACCGATACGACAACATAACCTTCAAGAAAAGAGCATATTCCTTTTTAAAAGGCCGGCAGCACACCTGCAATGCCGCTGGTGTTGTGGGTGATCATGGGCGGCGGTAGTCACTTACCATCAGGTGAGCCGCATGCTCGTTTGCTCCCTGTGTTGTAAAAAAAAAATTGTGTCTCGCAAAAAAAACCGACTGCAAACGTGTCTAAACCTGATTTTAAAACTAAACTACTGAACCGATTTTGATTAAATTTCTATGAAAACAATCTGTAAGTATATCCTTTCAGATAGAAAAAGAAAATTCCAAATCAGTTTAGAACTGACGGAGTTTTTTTTTATTGGTTGAAAATGGTATGGAAACCCCGCCTGCACTAACGGGATACGCTGGCGGAGCACCAGTGAAGGGCGATAGATGAGAATTAAAACAGGCCAGTTAGCCCATCATGATGAATTTATCAGGAATTAATCATGATAGTTTCTAGGGGGAACCGCGAGGAGGTCGACCTGGTTGGGTATATTGCTAGCAATGGGATTCTCAGTCTCCATTACTAACAATCCCTTTAAAGTTGGTTAATTTATCACTACCCAGATTAAGAAGTTATAAATTATGACATATTTAATTAAAAAAAAATAAACACTAAATTAATAAATATGCTCTGATATTATTATAGATACTCTTTATTGTTTCCTCCAGATATAAACAATTACAAGAAATAATCACAATGAGAAAACAACGGGCGACTTATAATGCGCCGATGGAACCCACGACCATCGGAAGGTGTGGCAGTATATTAAATGAATATATAACCAAAACGATAAATCTTTAAATCTATCTTTCTTTCTTTCTTTCTTCTAAACAAAAAAAAAGATAGATAGATAGATAAACTTTTTATTGGAGCCATTTATACGATATGACACACGTAAAATTTACGTGTGTCATAATTTAAAATCAAATTATTTACACTTTTTAAAATATACAACAAAAGATAAAATATGAAAATATAGTTTCGCCATGTGGTGGATTAATTATTACTATATATATATATATATATATATATATATATATATATATATATATATATATATTACATATAAATTACTAGTGGAATAAAAAAAAACATGCACATATGAATCCGGAAAACATTACGTTCCTTACATTAGTTAGTTGTATAAAAATAACTGTAGTTACAAGTATTTATCTGAGTGCTAGTCTACGAGTTGCATAAAAAAAACCCAGCTTTGTAGTTTTAACCTTTTGTCAGAATGCACCACAGTCGGCCGTGACACCCGCGCGATAACGCGTGGTGACGTTCGCGTTGGTCTATTTTGAACTGTGTTTTTGTAACATTTTATCAGACAACAGAAGAAAGTATTTCACTAAAACTAGGTATTATTTTGCGAAAGTCTATATTACTGGTTAGTTGATTATGTTATTAATTGCTACCATTAGTATGTGTGTGACTGCCAACACTCGAAGATTGACCTCCACTATTACTACCAGAAGTTCCACAACCTACAATATTAGCCATCAATCTCCGACCACTATTCAGTCCACACACGTTTTGCGATACATGTCTCACCCCTGAGCAATACACCTTTAGACAAGTTAATAGATTAATAGATTGTTGTATGGAGCCTAGTATTAAGCGAATAAAGAATTTCTTCGCTTAATACTAATTATTGTATTATTGTGTTATATTTTATACCATGTATTATTTATATGTACGTGTGTGTGTGTGTGTGTGTGTGTGTGTGTGTGTGTGTGTGTGTGTGTGTGTGTGTGTGTGTGTGTGTGTGTGTGTGTGTGTGTGTGTGTGTGTGTGTGTGGGTGTTTGTATGTGTGTGTGTGTAGTAAGCTATGTTTCTCAACCATTTTTATGTCGTGACCTACGAAAAAAGCCAAAAAGTTAAGTAAAGTCTGGCGACCCCGTTTATCACTAAAAAAATATAATAAGTTATAATAATACTTTAATCAATAGTTTATTACCACAACACTGCCTTAAGGCGCTAACCTTAGATTATATAAATAGTGTCTCCATAGAAATGCTTCGAGAAAAACGGCTCAACATTTTCATACAATTATGCGATTCTTTTATAACTTATATATTTATTTTGTCTTATAAATTCTGCATCTTTTTAATGCGTAAATACTCAATTTACTTATTATATAATACATTCAGGATACATTGTATTCATAAGATATACTTACGTAGAACATATATATATATATATAACACTGATAAAAAAACAAGTGAACTTATTTAATAATTAAAATTAGCTGACGAAAAGTTGACCCGTTTTTGAAACTGGATACTATATAATCTAAGTCACTAACAAGTGACGACCAAAAAAAATAAAAAGAAGAAGTAGCAAATACTGAATCAAATTAATAGTAGTATATTGCTAGCAATAGGATTCTCGGTCTCCATTACTAACAATCCCTTTCCCCCCCTACGAAGCCTTATTATTTTTAAACAGACTGCTACCCTCTTAAATAACAAACACGACCCCCCCAAGAGTCGCGACCCCCAGTTGAGAAACAATGGCATAAAGTATACAACAAAAGACATAAAAGATCACAACACATAAAATAGTTACTATTATTATAAATAGGTATAATAAATAGGAAAAGATATAAACAATATCAATAACAGAAATTAGTAAGCATGAACTTAATCGAGGAATATTTGCCCCACCACGCAACAGGACATTCCACAGGACATTGCTGATCAGGCGCCACTCAAGAGGGCGCTACGTCTGCTCAGTGAGGTAGTAGCAAGTTCACAACTGAACTTATTTCACTGTACTGTCACAGAGTATCGGAGAGCAGTAACAAAATACCCAGTATATATATATATATATATATATATATATATATATATATATATATATATATATATATATATATATATATATTATAAATAACTAAATACATACATACAGAATTAACAATTTATTTAGACAAATTACTTAAATTCTAGGAATTTCACAAAATCCTGTGTCTACAAGTACATTTTACTCAATATCTAGGTATAGTTTTGCGCCACATTACACAAAATTAATATAAAATTGACGCTGAATAAATATTCTTTGATAAAAAAAACTTGTCACAAAAAATACTTATGAATTAAGAATCTCCTCCTATCGAATATCATTTAAAATTTGCTAAATTTAGTTAAATTTTAAAGCTAACTCCAAAAAATTAGAAGGTGTTTAATTCGTCTAATTTTTTTAGAGACCTCGTCACGTCCATTTGTTAATTAACAAAATTAAAACCAATTAAGTCAACGAACGCGGAATACAATGTTACCATAACAAGTTAGTAGAATCAGGATAAGGGAAGTGAATCGTTTCCCCGCATCCGATTGTACAAGACAAGCAGACGTCTAATCTACATAATGCCGACGATGGTTAGGTATTCGTTACTCTGCGGAAGCGAAAGCTACGCGATAATAAAGCTATAGTCTATTCCTGTTGTTATAATAATTTAAATGCTATATATAAATATTAACCAACGAATTATTTATCTGCCCATAAAACCCAATAGTAGTATAATTATAATTTAATGAATGACTGTCCGCGCTCGACCACAAATAAATTTGCCAACTCTTACGTGAACCGTATCGTAACAATGTGCAATAAACTTTCTCAAGATATGTTTCCTTCATCCTATAATCCTACAAACGTAGCGTGAAAGAACACTAAGCATAGGACTCGTCTCTTGCGTATTTAAATTTCCCACATTTGCTCCAAATGGGTCACGTCATTATGTCTGGCGCTAAATGCCATCGAATGGAACACTCTTCCTGCTTCGGTGTTTCTGGAAAAATACAACAATTTTCAATTTATCCTATAACCTGAGAGTTTTAAACGAGAGTACGAGTAAAACATTCTGTTTTCGGTTAATCGTATGCATGGACCATGTCGTCTCTGTGTTCACTCAGGATGGTATAATCATATGTAGTGCTAGAATAAATTATTGATTTATTACATTTTCGATTTCTTACTAATCTCATTCAGAGAGTGTTTTGATGACAATTTTAACGAAACTTGGTTACCTTTTTATTAAGTTCTACTCAAAAGACTAATTATATGAAAGACTTGCTTTTTGCCCTACATTTTTTAGTTTTTTATACGTGTGGAAGAATTAAACAAATTAAGGAAATCGACCACTCCTAGATAATAAATATCTTCCACGTACTGGCATAGTACTAATTAGTTTTTTAGTTAGTGCTCAGTTACAATTCTACTACTACTAACTACTATAGTTACAATTTTATAACGTTATCTTCAATCGTTCACTCCTCGAATGCCACACACATTTCTTTATACCTTCAGAATAACCACAGAAAATGTTATCGCTTCGCTTCACCACTGTGTTCAATTCCTAAGGCACATAAAGATTCCGTTGCCTTAATCCTGATAATGGACGAAGATTCGATGGGGCGGACGGAGAACTGTAACAGATTCTTGTTCAATCGACAATTGATCGTTTGTTGACAGTAAAACTTAATAAAAAATTGAATATTAAGTCCTTTACATATTTTTGTACCTACCACTACGAATGCCAAACAATATGATAGCAAATTTAATG